TAACTCTCACTTTCTAAAGAAAGTCCGGGTATATTGTTATCTTGGTCCGTCCGTCCGTTCTGTCACACTTTCTTCTTCCTCAAACTACTCCTAAATTTTAAGCAGTACCCCGTCTTTTGGAATATGACTGGTGGTGCCTTGAACATGTGCAACAATGTTTTGAAATTTTATATTTTCACCCTGGGGGTCAAATGGGGGTAAAAAAAACCCAATGTTTTCTACCAAAAAAACTGGTTCCCTGAACTCCTCTTACATTTTTAGCAGTAGCCAATTCATATTTTGGAAAATGATTGTGAGTGTCCTGTGGATATGCAAGAAGGTTTTGGAATTTCGATTTCCGCCTGGGGTGGGGGGGGGGGGGGCAAGAGGGGGTCAAAAACTAATTCTTTTTCAAAAACCTGGTTCCCTGAACTCCTCTTATAATTGTATATAACCAACTTATCTTTTGGAGTATAATTGGTGGCGTCTTGAACATGTGCAAGAAAGATTCGGAATTTCTGTTTTCACCCTTGGGCGATTGTGTGTTAAAAAAGTCTTTCTACCAAAAGAAATTGGCTCCCTGAACTCCTCTTAAAATTTTCGCATAGTCCATTTATATTTTGGATAGTGACTGGGAATGTCCTCAAGATGTGCAATAAGGTTTTGGAATCTCGATTTTCGTCCTGGGGTGATTGGGGTTAAAATAAAACCCGTCGTTTTTCTTAAAAAACTTGGTTCTCTGAGAGCTTCTAATATTTTTTGCAACAACTTAGTGGTGTCCTGTAGATGTGCAATAAGGTTTTAGAATATGACCTAATGTTTGCATTTAATTCAATGTATAATCAAGTGCCTCTGTGGTCTAGGGATATGATTCTTGCTTAGTAAGTGAGAGGTCCCGGGTTCAATTCACGGATGATGCCATTTTGTGATTTTTTTTTATTTTTGGATTTGCTAAATGATAGTATTGAACATATGAAATGAAAAAGCTATGACGTCTGGCGTGTACAAACTCATAAAATCATTATTACAGTGTGATAAATATTCTATATAGAAAGAATCTTCTATACACATATTAAAGAATAAGCAATCAAATCTTTATATCCATATTGGCATTTTTTATTTGCTTCAATATACTTGTATACATTTAATAATTTTACAAAACCGGGGGGGGGGGGGGGAGTCCGACCCCCCGACCCCCCAGAACTCCGCATGTTCTTCTTTTTTCCCTAAGCGGGGGACACGAATTCTATGAATTATCTTGATTTTATTACAAGAAAACTCAAATGTCATAAATGTCATATTTATATCATAAAAGTTTGCGAATTTTCAATGTAGTTTATGGCAAACAAGGAACTCTAAAAAAAAATCGGAGGTGGGATCAGGTGCCACGGAGGAGTAAGCATCCCCTGTTGACCGGTCACATCCGCCATGTGCTCATTGTCATGATCCGGCAAACGGAAAAATCCTTAGACAATTCAGTGTTTAAATATTGACCCAAGAATTTGTATGAAAAACGTCAGTCGGTATTCGGCTCAATGATAGATTGTATCTGATGACAAGGTCATTGTATCGACCATAGAACTTACGAAATGATGACTTTAAACGAGACTGTTGGTATCCTTGTTTCATCAACTTGTTTGTCAATAGCTTGCCTCGTTTTAGAAATTGTTCCTACGTGGAGCATACTCTTGCGTATCGAATCAACTGGGAGATATAAACCCCATATGCAGGTATATCGCTACAAAAGTAAGAGAAGTTGACGATAGAAAAGTTGAAGTCATCATATTTATCATAAAGTTTTGTTGGGTTAGGTTGTATCTTTAAGGAATACTCCTGCTAGAAGCACAGTTAAAAGGGCTGTGAGTTCGAAATTACAATTTTGAGTCTCATTAAAATTTACACAGTAAAATAAGTCTGAAATGGTTTCGGATCCCTTTCTCATCATACATAGGAACTCGGACAACGCTGGACATGGGGACACCAAAATTGGTCACTATTTTTTTTTTCAATGGGATAATACGATTTCTTTATTGTAATTGTGAATTACTTTTAGTGAGAATTCCTTCTAAATCAGTATTAATATGATATGGGATAAGGATATGGCCACGTAGTTCACTTTCTCAAGATCTTCAGTCTACACTATATCCGGAAGCTCTCACAAATGTTTTATCTTTTTTGGTCCAATGGTTCTTGAAGATTTGAATATTTTTTAGGACATCCAACCTATTTCGACATTTTTATTATCTCCCCTTTTAAGAGAATGTGGTCCCTGACTTGAACAAACTTGAATCCCTTTCACTCAAGGATGCTTTGTGAACATTTTGCTGAAATCGGTCCATTGGTTCTGAAGAAGTCGTGAAAAAATGTGAAAATTTAACAGACTGATGGACAGATGGGCAGCTAGACAGACGACAGGTAATCAGAAATGCTCACTTGAACCTTCGCTACAGATGAGCTAGAAAAAGTCACATTGATGGGCGCGTGGATCCTTTTTCTGAGATAATTAATTAATATTAATGCTAAGTACTTCCTTCCATTTATCTATTTATTTGCATCTCAACACGATTTTTCAGCGATATACAGAAGTTTTAAGAACAAAATATATGATTTTACAGCGATAAGTTTAACAACATACTTGGTACATGTTTCACACGAGAAATTAAACCCTTTGTGTCTCTATCTACATGTATTTCATTACAAATCTTTGTGTGTTTCTTGTTATTTAATCAAGATAACGATGATTTGATCCTGACTTTTGCCATTTTGTACAGACCCAGATGCGGTATACCCCTCAGGGGTATATATACCTGTCTGCAACATGTCAGGTAAAGGTCTACAGTGAGTAGTTTTCAAACACAACAAGGTTCATTCTGTAGATTCAAAATCTATGAAAGAAAATAGTCATGTCATTTTTAATGGATTTAAGTCAGGATCTGAGGAGTTTTGTGGACATTAGTACTATACATTTGTTTTTAGAGGTAAAATGGAAAAATTGCTCTTGAAAAGCAAAAAATTACACAGAAATCGAAAACAGAAAAAAAAATCTATTTACGGTTGGATTGTCTCAACTTACAACAATAACAGGGAACGTAGTTTACTCTCTACTTGAGCAATATAGGAATGTCCCTGTGTATTTGAACTTTTTCAAAAATCATATTTTTGACTTTTTGTTGTGTCCTCTATATCTGTTAATTAGAATCCAAGACAGATTCATGTGAGTAAACTTTTTTTGCACTTTTCCATGAGATATAACTCTGGTTGAAGTATCAATGTAAATGGTAAATCCTAAATATATAAATAAATAACTAAACCTTTCTTAAATTTCTGTTTTACTTTTCATTTTTACTTTATTTTTTAATTTCATTTTTTAATGTTTTAATTTTGGCTACAGTTGATTAATTCAGAAAGAGAGACGGAATAGAAAGAAAGCTTTTTTCCGTTACCAATTTTGTATATTTTATTGACTGTTTAGCACATCAGGTCCAAAATTTATTGTTTAATGACCTTGCCCTGCGTCCATGACTGTAACCTATCATTGATAATGATGAGTTTAATAATTATGCACACAATGGCATAGTCATCCAACCATGAAGCTTGGGATTGGAGTTTACTAAGTGATTTGGTAGCAGCAAAAACTCTTTGTTCGAGGTGTGAAACATGTACTATGAAACATGTTTGTGTTTTATATTCAGTCAAATATATTTTTGATGATAGGCGTTACATGTGTCTGATTCTAATTTACATGTTATGCAGCCAACAGTTACTTGAGAAAATGATAAAGTTTAAAACAGTATCGTTTTGTTCGATTTTCATCCGATTAGAAGCGTTCCATGAATTCAGTAGTATATAGGTCCCTGGTGAATTTTTCTATTATAGTCTCGATCATTCAGACGTATGCCTTTATCACACAAACCGAAGCGATTTGATGATCAAGATTTTACTTCATTCAATTGATGGCAACATCAATGTTTTCTTGTTGATTGATTGATTCTTTAAGATTTACACTGTCTCACTGATACTTCAGCCAGAATTATGTCCCATCGAATAGTACAAAATCTTACCCATCATGTTGTCTTCGATTCCAATGATATTAAAAGGACACAGCAAGAAGTCAAAATATATTGTATTGATTTGTTACATATTTGAAATTTGATATATTGCTCAAATAATGTCTGAACTTTCCTGTTACTGTTATAAGCTTAGACAATCCAAACATATACACATTTTTTGATCGCATTTTCTGTGGAATTCTTTGCTTTTCTGGAGCAATTCGTTCTTTTTGCATCTAAAAACAAATTTTTACTAATAATCTCTAAGCTTCTGATTTAAATCCATAAAATCATCATTATCTTGATTAAATAACAAGAAACACACTAAGAGTTGTAATGAAATAGATAGAGACTCAAAGGGTTTAATTTCTCGTGTAAAATATGTACTAAGTATGTTGTTAAACTTTTCCCTCGCCATTCGATTTGGTCCCTCGCTTCGCTCGGAACCAAATCTCATGGTACTCGGGAAAAGTATACCAACAAATATTTAGCTTAGAAAGCTACTTACATGTAGTAACTTCTGCTCTTTACTTTGCCCTCAAAGTCGTAATGAAATTTTCAAATGCTTTACATCATAAATTTTTATGGAAAGACATTATTTTTGAAAACATTTTTATTTTACTAGAATTTATTTTTATCTTATTCTGTATAGAAAAGTCTAGTAATAACCATATAACCATATGTCTTTTTGGAATTTTTTTTTTTTTGGGGGGGGGGGGGGTAAAATATGACTTCTGTTTCCAGGTTTAGTTTAATTTTACCATAATTATTATCGATAATTTTAATTTCTGCAGTTACTAAATAAATACTTAGATTATATACCTTAAAAAATATATACGTATATATTACTCATCTTTGGTAGTTCCCGAAATACAATTTATTCTTTCCGACTTCATTTTAGGGCATCTTATATTATTTTGATTATTATTTTCACAAACATTAACTTGGTAAATAAATACTTTTCAGATATATGATAACAGAAGAAGAATGGAGAAACTTTTTTTATTAATAACTTCTGGAGTATTTATGTATTGCTGTATCATATGTCCATTGCTATGCCCTCCAAAGACCGAGGCTGACTGCAATGAAAAACTAAACATTTCAAGATGTCCAAACAATCATTCAAATTACGAATCCCCTTACCGAATCAAAGATAAATTCGAAATCATACGAGTAGCGAAGAGAATAGTTAAATCTGATGGCGTAGTAATACTCACTTTTATGAACAAAGCATTTAAACCATTCCTAGCTAATTGGATGTGCCACACCAAACAAATGGTAAGAGAATCTCAGATTTTACTCGTGATGACTGAGACAGAAGAGTATGGTGATTTTCGATCTGTATATCCTAAAGTAAACATCGTTTACTTGAAAAGCTTCCAAGGAATCAGCGAAAATCAGAGATACTGTACAGCAGGATTTATGCGTATTGGTATTTACAGAACAACAGTTGTTAACTGGATATTACAGGAAGGTGTACCAATATTTGTTTTTGAACTGGACGCACTATGGTTACAAAATCCACTGCCATTCATAACAACTAATACAGAATATGATATAACAATTATACCGACGTATGAAAAATCATTCGAAGCCGCAATTGGCTTTTACTATATGACAGCAAATAAGCGAATGCAACAATTCTGGCAGGAATTAACGCGTCGTCTTCATGACTTGAGTAAGACCTTTTCCTGTTTAAAAAACAAAGAAAGAGTACGGGGAAGGGATAACGATCAGATGGTGCTCTATGGTCTTATTCAAGAACATTACGAAAATCTTATCATCTTCTTTTTACCAACAAATAAATTTCTTGACGGGAAATGGTATCGAAAACCAGAAACACATTTGTTGAGAGAAGCTCTCATATTAAATTTTAATTTTGTGATTGGAATTGATGAAAAAATTATCCGTGCAAGACGTTTTGGGCACTGGTTTGTTGCAAATGACAATTTGACATGTCTGCCTGATAAATATGAACGTTTTCAAATGTCTTTGAATGAATACCTGAAATAACATATGGATTTGAAAGTTTTCCGTGAACCCACCGTGATAGCCACATAAATTTATTTGCTTTTCTGTTTTTTGGCAGATCACAAATGGTGAATTTGGGTTTATATATTAATTTTGGCAGATAAAATTAACGTGAATCCTAGCTTATCCAATTAATTCATTTTATATGCATTGAATTGTATATGTAAAATGTGCTTGATCAGCATTAGTGAAAAATTTACGCTCAAGTATAAGAAGGAAACAAGGTTTTTATAAATGTGTACAAATGTGTTATTTTATTTGGCATTAAATCACACACATCTCAGGTATCACATGCATTACTTTCTCGATCATAAATGCAAAAGCAAGATTGGGAGAATGAAATATAATTGAATAATTTTTATTTTGGTGAATCTTTAAATCGCCAAAGTAACATCCACGCAAATAAACTAAACAGTGTTAAAAAATTTGGGTTGTTTTTTTTAAATAGGCTCAGTGAATCAAAGTATCTATTTTTTTTCACTTTAGTTTATCTAAAGTAAATGAAAATTCCGTTTTGTATTCACTCACTATAGTAAAACTAAATGAAAAACAAATACATGTATAATATAATTTTGTTTTGATAATATTAAGTTCAAGTCTCAGATCTGCATATAAAAGTTCAATTAAAAGTTTATGAAAAAGATCTGCAAACATTACAAGCTGTGCAGATGCAGCTCAAGATTTTTTTTGTCCCCTACCAGAAAAAAATGTGACCATAGATTCCTCTCTATCTGTATGCCTGTCCGTCTTTCTTCAAGTTATTCTGAGCTTCATTGAACTTGCAGAAGCTCCTATATATATTTACTAATATTATACTATCATGTCAATTAGTTGAATCTGATTCGTTGAGAAATATTTGTTAAAAAACACTATTGCCCGCTGAATGATGAAGCCACGCCCTCCAGCATAGCAACAGTCAACATTGCTTGACGACGGGTGTCATTCCAAAAAAATAGCGACTGCGCAGAATTTATGCGCGCAAGGTTCACTGTTATATGTATTTGTATAAAACATTCAGTATACAATAAAAAATATTGCATGTAGTTGAGTGTAACATTGAAAATTTTCACCCTTCGAAAACCATTGTCAACCTCTCCTGCGTCTCAGTTGACAATGGCAATATTTATATAGTAGCTGATTTTTTGTATGTGAGTTTATTTTGTTGACTGACAGATCAAATTTACATTTCGTACAGCAGGCCTCAAAACTTTTGCCAACTTTGTTTTTAATGTAGCTAACGTGTCAACTTTTTTTACTTATTAAATTTTTAGACCCAACATTGAATTTATTTTAGCATTGAGTTTTTATAGTTATAGAAGATAGTGTTACTGCTTTTGACTATGAATATAATGATATACGGGGTATTACATTAGTGTTTATTAAACATACCATTCCACCTTTTTCATTATAATTTTTAGACCCAGGATTGAATAAGGTTTAGCGTTACGTGGTTATAAAGACAGCGTCACAGTTTGAGACTATGAATAAACCTGAATTGATAAACATTTTGTTGTTTCAGACGGGCTTATCATGTTCCCCATTGGCGTATTTTATTACGGATATGTGTCTTTGAATAAATTTACAATCCCCAAAAAAGACTAATCTTTGGGGGCAAAATTTGAAGTTTAGAAAAGGTTTTAAATTTCATAGTCATCATGCAAACAGGCTTGATTTTGATGTCCAGGAAAATGAGAGCTTTTTAAAAGTGTGATAAATTATGCATTGAATTATTACATTGCTCATAATTACAACTACGTGCACAGACAAATTTAGTAACACGCGGTAACATTAAAAAAGATAACATTTTAAAAATCATTTTACTTCTATTTTACATTGTTTTAAAATTCATTCCTCGCTGAATAAGAAACTATTTAAGCTAGAAAGCATCACTATTGTAATTTCTATAGCGAGGAATATTGTGGGGTGTTTTACTTTGCCACCAATAAAGGCAAAAATGTAGTTCCTATTCTTTCTACATGGTTATTTCCTGATCTCAATCTTTAGTTTTGGACCTTTTTAAGTAGCAAATCACTGTTCTTTAACTTTAACCAGGTGAATGATAATTTTATATGTAGAGTTTGATTAGAAAAAAAATAATCTTCAGTTTTAATCAAAACTGAAAAAAGTGCAAATTTGAATCAAAGGAATTATTTTTAAGATTATATACAAGGCTTAGAAATTATACAATAAATTGTAACATTATTTTAAGCCTAGGATTAAAGCCAGGTTCTTATTACAGAGAATAAAACAATCAACTATCATGTTTTTATATTGCAATCTAAGGCTTGTTTTAAAAAATTCAAGCTCTAACATTAGGTTAGCTTAAAATACATAAAAAGAACTAATTTTTGCAGTAAAGAATTTAATTTATTTTGTATCAATTCGGCAACCAGAGCACATCAAATCCCCAACTTGCATTTTTTGCAACGTCCAATGGAATCACGGAAAGGTTGACAGAATGTGGCTTAAATTTTCTACTTGTCATATATTCGATTATTTTGTTTGCTGTTTTTTGTCCTCTGTGAAACTCCCATTCCATGATAAATGCAACAACATTTATATTAGAAAAAAACTTTGATGATTTTTCCAGGGCTTTGGCTTCAAATCCTTCAATGTCCATTTTCAATATAACATTTTGAAAATACTTTATTTCTGGCAGGTCTAATAAGTCATCCATTGTTATGGTATTCACTTTCCCATATATTCCTTTTGCACGACCAAGTTTTAATTTTTTTATATAATCTGCATCGACATCAACGAATGTTCCTCCCATATTATTTCTTTCAACACCAAGATTGACTATGGCGTGTTCATTTGATATAGCATTATGAACTAAAATGATATTTTTGTGAAGATTACCCTTCATTGCTGATGCACAGATATGTTGAATATTGCGATCCAAAGCTTCAACAGCTAACACCTTTCTCCCAGCTTTAGCTACACTTAGTGTGTACACACCTGTAAAATAATAAAGTAGTCGATTGACAGAGTTGATTTACTTCTACTAAATAAAAATTGATTTTTATGTACTTTACACTGTACGTATTTTTGAATACGCTTTACTCGTTCGTTACACATAGTATAGGAGTTTTTTGATTCGTAAAGCAAATTCTTGAAAATGTCTTCTTGTTATATTTTTTTGTCTCGGCTTAATAAAATAAAATTTGTGTAAAATAATATGCTTCTCTTACCAATATTGGCACCGATGTCAATTAGTTGTAATAATGGGTCCTCTTTCATCATTTTAAAGATTATACTAGATTTTTCAGATTCGAAAGAACCTCTTTCTTTTAAGGAAGACGAAACCCACATATCTTTTGATCTTTCATACACAAATATCGGCGTGATTCCAAACTCAGTTTTCAGGAAGGCTTTTGGAAATTTAAAACATGCAGCACACACATCAAAATTTTTAATCCATTTATTTTCTTTAAAAGTGTAAATGGATTTCACTAACTTCTGTCTTCTTTCAGGACATTGAATAAATTCCTTATTTCGCAGATTGCTTGCATTTATCTCGTGAAGGGGTATATAATCCATGAAAACATTTTCATTATTTTCTTTGTGGTTAAAAAAGTAAAGATAGCTGCAAACAACGATTACACCCACGGTCAAATGAAATTTGAATCGATTCATTTTTAAGTCTTCTATTCTGAAAAAAAAGAAGGAAAAAAAACACTTTCCTATAAGTAATTAGTTTAACATTGAATAACTGGAGTACTGTGGAGTAATGTAAAATTTCGTATATAAGACAATTCAACAACAAAATCGTCCCCACGAACCAAAATTTGACCCCATGAAAATAAGTGATTTTACAGTTTAAGGCAATTGTGTAGGTAAACTGTTGAATTGGTCTTTAGTTCTGGGAGTCTTCTGCTGTGAATAATTTGAAAATGGCGGAAAAACTTTATGCATTTAATTGAGCACATTCCATCAGCATTACAGAAAATTTGTCTTAAGAATTTAGAGCTGGCATATTTAATTCCTCTGAAGGCTACCATGAATTTCACTGTATCAGAAAGTTTTCAAAATGATGTTCAAATGCAAGAATTGTGATGGACAAAGAATGATATTAGAGTATGGATGAAGCTTTCCCGCTTGTCAGAACATGAGACGAAGCAGAAACTGAAGTCTATGAATAGACTTATGGCCATCAAGTAACCTAGGTTTATTAGATCAACGGCTGTATACTGTGTACTTAGAAAATGATGAAATCAAGAAGTTCCATTGAAAGCATTGATGGAAGTAGTCGCTGAGGAAAAAAATAATAATTTTAAGGTATCTGTGTAAGAATTGAAAAGAAAGAAGATAGTAAAGAATACATATGCCTAGCAGATCCGCTGAACAGTTGAAAAAACACTCAGTCATAACAAATCCTAATACAGAGGGCCAATACAGAATATTTTTCTAAAATCAAATACATGAAAATGATGAAGATAACGAACAATAATCGATCTTAAAGAAACAACTACAAACAAAACAAATCTGTAAACAGAGCATCAAACATGAATCCCTAGAAAGTTCAGAGGTGGGATCAGGTGCATAGGAGGAGTAAGCATCCCTAGATCACAATCGCCGTGAGCCCTATGTATTGCTCAAGAAAGCAGAATATTCCGTGGTCATGATTTGTAGTCAAATTTAGTATAAAAGCTATAAATACAAAGGCCTAAATATGTCAGTTAAATACGACCCAATGATAGGGTTTTTTGCTAAGAAGATCATTATAACGACCAAAGAATTTTCGAAATGCTGACTTTAAGAGAGGTTGTTAAAATCCCTGTGCTATCACCTTATTTGTCATTAGCCTGTCTTGGTTTAAAAGTATTCAGAGCATGATCTTGAGTATCAAATAAGTTGGGAGACATAAACACCATTTTAAGGTGAAAGTTGAATATTACGTACTACACAAATAAAGAAAGTTGATGATGGAAAGCTAAGTCCAGTTCGATTGTTAGTTGGCTCTTAAGTCCCTAGTAAGTAAAACATTCAAATATGAAGAAGATATGGCAGACTTTGTGGTGTCTTTTTTTCGAGTTCAGATATGAATGGAAGTAATTATTGTTAATTGACAAAACGTCGTCGATATATCTGAATGTCGAGTTGAAGGCCACATCAAGTGTTTTCTTCTTCTCATGTAGAAGTTTTTGAATACATTCTCCTTCATAAAATAATTTTAAAAATCGGCTAATAAATGCATTAAAAACATAAATGAAGAAACTGTACAGTGTACACTATCCGGTCACTCTGTATTATCCTAAAAGACAACTTTCATGATTGGGTTGACGTGAGAGCATTAATTTCTGACTTTAAAACCAATGATTGCTTTAATCATCAGAAAATATGGCAAAAATTGGGTAAAGCTAAGAGAAACAATATACCATATCCGATATACAATTCAGTATCACTGTTTTGATGTTGCTGTATGCACATGGTAAGAATAAAAAGGTCATTACGATAATTAACTTAAAGAACAATGTCATTTTTTAATGAATTTCAAATGTATCTCGATACGTTGAAACTTTGTACAATAAGAAAAACTGTCTTAGGTAGAAAATGCGAGTTATAAAGACTGAAATCAGTTGACCACATGCTACTTTTGTTTTGCTTAAGAGTCCATATACCAACTATAATTTACGATTCCTATAAGATGAATGTTAACAGCAAAGCATTTCCGAAGAAAAACATTTTAACTCTACATTTTCTTTCTATATACATTATACACAATTTAACCCAACCAGGGAAAAACACATAAATAATATAAATAATGATTTACACTTAAGAAAAGTTTTTATATAAGTTTCTTTGTATCAATGCCTGCTGAGTAGATTGTTTTAACCTTACCCGATTGATATAATCCCGATGGTTCTGGAGAAGATGAAAATGTTAACAGTCTCTACATCACTGAAAATGTTAACAGTCTCTACATCACTGAATTCAGATTCTGACCTGACAACTCACTTGATACTGAAACTCAGACGAAGATTAATCAATACATATAAAAAAAATTGTACTCAGTTCCTAAAACGATGTTTTACTTCCCTTTGGTAACTGAAAAAAAAAACATAAACGTCAGTGTTGTCTGAAAATCGACCTACATGTATAATTGAACAGTATTATGTAGGTGATATCCAGAACAGAGTATTTTCTTGCGCACTAAAATTACTCAACATTCGTGTGGTCCTGATTGTATGATATGTGTAAATCCTCATTATAAAGAATAGGCTTAGGTAAGATTTAAAAAATTGCTAGTAGTTTATTTTATGAAAAATACCAACTGTCACACTTAATTGACGGAGGATTCGTTAAGCTGAAATATTTGGTCCGCATAATTTTAGGAAGCACTCAGGTACAACTTGTCCAAACTCTTTCACGGGATTTAAACAGTGATACAAAGCAGCAATGTCTACTTTTTCTCACATTTCCCCGCCGTCACAGACATCACTGTCCTAAACAAGCGAATTTCAAGTCAAGCAACATCCTGACGCATGCTGCCTGTAAAAGCACACAGAAGGTCAGATGTATTAAAAAAAAAAAAAAAAAAAAAAAAAAAACATGTTTCAAGCGTCATTTTCCTTATTAAAAAAAAATACAGGACTATGACACAAGAGCTTCTCAAGTACACGTGTGACATTTCTTTCTCTGTATCAGGGTGTGTGGGTTGGCCCAAATATGACGAACAATTCAGATTGCAAAAGGCTCGTGACCCTTATTCCTCATGGAGGAAAATCAACAGTAAATTAAGGTTATTGCACATCAAAAATGCAAATGCCTTTCATAACAACTCGGAGCAAACACCCAAGATTAAATTATCAAAACAGGCCACCTACACTGTCTCTGAAAAAAAAACCCATGGCCGTAGGAACCGGGGGGCACGGGGGGAAACATAGCTACATAGCTACTATGTGCTTGTGCACCCTCAATAATAACGTCTGATGACCTTTTTTTTTTTGGTAGTTGATAGTGCCTCCCCAACTGAAAATGTATGGTTGTGCCCCCTCAAAGTGAAATTGCTTCCTACGGGCCTGAAAAAGACCACTCCGTACTTCAATAACTAGAGTCAATTGACTCAATTCTACTTAAATCTTAGGTTCAGACACTCCCGCAATTTTACAGCGATTAAGAAAATGAAAAAGTTGAAATAACGAACACTGTTCAGTCTAATTAATCTTAAATACAATACAAATCAAAAAACGGTTTGACACTATCTGGTACCACTTGCAGGGTGGCGGGCAGGAGTTATCTCTCCATTACAACGGTGATAAACATGAATTTCTACCCTTAAAAGTAGAGCTTTTTCATGCTTGGCCGTCTTTAGCAACAACCTTAAATAGTAAACTGACATACACCTATCAGGCCGTTATTATTCTTGGGCATTTCATCATCAACTTTTTACTTACATTAGCCCTACCATGTGAAAAAGTTCAACCAGACTTTTTCCGTAACTTCGACTCTGCTGCTAGTCAGACTTTAGGAGAAAGCCGTACATAATAATTAAGAGAGAGAAAAAATACTGTTCTCTAATTGCTGATCTTGGTGGCATATAGAGCAGGGGCCCGTTTCACAAAACTATCTTATGACTAAGATCTTCTTAAGACCGAACATTATCTTAAGATTGCACCATAGCCGTTTCACAAAACTGTCATATCTTATGATAATCTTAAGATCTATCTTTATCTTAAGTCAACTAGATACCTGTCTTAAGTCTAAAGTGAAACTGGCGACAGTATATCTTTTGGCTAAAAATCGAAGGATATTTTAAGAAAACGGTTTTTAGAGACAGAACAATCCTTTGGACTATATCAGGCCAGTCGGAACGATGACCCCCCCACCCCCCACCCCAACAATATTTTGCCAGTAAATATACGATAGAAAACATAAAATGAAAAATGAACCTTCTTTATGTCTGTGCCACTTTATTCATTTCCAAGGCATTTTCCCTTTTTTGTTGTGCCCCCTCTCAACTGAAATTGCTTCTTAAGACCATGTATATATGTAGGATCCAGATATCATATATTTTTAACTTTATTCAAAATTGTTTAATTTTGAATTCAATACCCCATGCACAAGAACATCACAATTTCTATGACCAAGCACTGCTAACTTATGCAATTTTTAAAATGGCTAACGTAATTCGAGATACATGTAGTTTATTTATTGATATGTTAAGTAAATATATTTGAATAAATCAAAATACGAAATATAAGCATTTTTATGGATTGGATAAGTCCCGCCCATGAAAGTAAACAAAAATCGAACTTCTGAGTAGCTACCTTTCATTTGAAGACGTTTACTTTAATTTATTTTGTTACATTGTGGTGATTTTTTTTTTAGAAATTTGAAAGTAAACATTTCTTTCAGTCTTACAAAATAAGATGAAAATCAAATAGTTTTAATTCTTAGGATATCCCTCATTAATCCACCATAATTATATAATGTGTATGAAAATTCAGTATAATTACTGCTGTAACATTTCATGCTGCTTGTACATGCTTTCTTAATAGCAGTTGACACTGTACAATTTTGATTAGAAATTGTTTTTTGTTTCTCTTCTTTGTCTGTTAGCATTGTTATTTTGTTGCAGTAGTTGAGGCGTTTCAGAAACACCTTCATCGAATTTTATAAACAAACTTTGAACAAGATTTGGTGTTTTAATAGTATTCATTGCTAATATCACTCATTATTTGCAAAGGTTCAGATACACTAATAGATTTAATTAAAAGTAGTATCACATACATTTCGTCAGCAACTACTATTTTCTGAGCAAAAAGACATGTAAGCAAATTTTATTCAATGATTTCTTTGTGATGAAATTAATTCAAATTTAATTTTCATGACACACTATTATTTCAATATTTCAAGGAAAATTTAAGAAAGACAACTAAACTTCGTGCAAACATATTTAAAAAAAATTTCCCTGTAATACTGAAGAATGGAATTTGTCTTAAGACTTGTGTTAAGATTTACTTTTACTTAAGACAGTTTTGTGAAACAGCAGTGACAAATCTTATGATTGTCATAAGTCAGATCTTAAGATGATCGTAAGATCTATCTTAGGACAAATCTTACGATAGTTTTGTGAAACCCGGCCCAGGTTTAGCAGGAATCTTGGGGGGGGGGGGATGTCACAATAATTTTAACATTATATAATATTCAATAGATTTACGAAACTGTGCTCCCCCCCCCCCCCCGAAAAAAGTCTGATGACGTTTATTTATTGAATTATTTATTTATATAATATATTTTGCTTCTTAAGGAATTTCTGTATGGTTGTGCCCAAAACTTTTTAAATTATATGCCGAGAGAGAACAGTCCTGGATTAATGGAGAGTTGTGTTTGCCAGACCAGTAGATATCTAACCTCCCCCCCCCCCCCACACACACACACAAAGACACCAGCCCAATGCAAAATGTGGAATATTATGAACGGGATGCGTTTTTTTATGTTTTGATATTGACTGATATGCATATTCGTTTAAACTAGACATATGTGATAATTACGATTTTAAAAAATATATACATAGTTTAACGGAATTTAACGGTATTAAATTAGAAATGGATTTTTGCTGCTGCAACCAAAACTTTTCATTCTTACTGCCCGAATATTTTCATTGAATAATTCTAGGGCACTAGAAATCATTTTATAACACGGACCCCTGGGAGAACCAAAGATGGTATCAGGTACCTAGATTTAAGTAGTATTGACTTAGTTATTTCACAAAAATTGAAAAATTGAGCAGCATTAAGTTTTTTTCTCTTCTTTTGTAGCCATTGCCCTAAAATGAATACACAAAGAACAGATAATAAGTTCAGATTGACCTACAATATCATCGTAAAGCATCATTCATTTTCTACAAAGTACAAATTACATAAATCTTTTTTGTGACTTTAGTCTTTTCTTCAGGTCTAGTTTGATAAGGTTAGTTTTCTTATTTATCTTATAAATATGTCATGTTGTAAATTTTGAATTTACCGGGTGGCAGTAAATACAAATTAAATTTTCATGTTGTATATTTTGTATTTACTGCCACCCGGTAAATCCAAAATTTACATGACAAATAGATTAAAAAGTGAATGATCCTATTTCACCTTACCGGTGTTGTAGAGTAGGATTCCCCCCATAGCCAGCCCCCCCCCCGGAAATTGTACACCAGAGCAGGATCCCCCCAGGGGAAATCTCACACCAGAGTCAAATTTCCCCCTCTTTCTTTCTCAGAGTAGGATCCCCCCTCCCCCCTCGTTATAGAGTCAATATAAACCACAGCCGCAATATACTGTGGGGAAAAAAAGATAAACGAGAAACTGATTTTTAAATGGTAAAAGAGTGTTTTTCGACTTATATACTGTTCAACTGTAGTAAGAATTTTCTAAGCATATATTTCAAATCATGGAGTCTCAACCCGAATATTTAGATTTCAAAGGAAATGTAAAACTCCTCGGATCCGATGTTTTAACACTTCTAATGGCACAGCGGTACTTGTGATATAACAACAGCGGTATTTAAAATGTGCAGTATATCAAGGCTATCTAAAGTTTAAAGATTCAATTTGTTTTCAAAGAAAGCCATTTACATTTTACTTCTTGTATGTTGCTTGAATCCAATGAACGAAAGAATTGTTCGAGTTAGTATCTCGTTAAAACGAATTATTTTTTTCATAACGAGTTAGTTATCTCCTTATAACTATCTCCTTATAACCAAATATATATCATGTAAATTAGTTGAATCTGATTCGACGAGAAACATTTGTTAAAGGGTTTTTGTCACGTCTCAAAAATTTTTCATGTGACAAAGTTTACATGTTATTAAAATCATATATTTAAAAATCTTTGCTAGAAAATTAATATTGTTGATTATTCAGCGATTCAAAGTTTGAATTTCTCTATATGCTTATTTTGATCGCTGATGCTATGCGCCATTGCTCTGACGTCATAGGTGTCAATCCTGGTCAAGCAAAGTACTTATTGTGTATACAAAACGGCTCATTTGTTGTCTCTATTAAACCTGTTAGTAAATAAATAAGTGATAATTGGATAATTGACAGTTAGTAAGGTATAATTTGTGGCTTTAGGATGCACAAATGCGCACAAGAAAGGTTTTAGGAAGACTTTTTTCACAATTCCTGGACTTTGTCGAG